AGCAATTTTTTTTGCCGATGCCCGTGATGCCGCCCCCCACCACGATGCCGCCCCGGGCAACCGCCCGTGTCGCCCGTATATAAAACCGCTACTGCTCAAGGCCACTTTAAAACATCACAATAAAGTCTGGCTGCTTGGAGGCAAAATATATAGAAATGACATATGGCTCAAGACAGCAACATAGAGGGTGACAGATATCAGAGGTTTTTAATCACGCAGAGAAACAGTGAAGGGCACAAAGTTGTTCAATGTAAAAGATCTGTTCCTCCTCATGCACTGTTTCTAGATTCTATCAGTGGCCACGCCCCCTTGAAGGTTAAATCGTCTGTCATCGAGGAAGTTAAAAGTTTTTCAAGGCTGAGGGAGGAAAGATGTCTGCTGGTACATCTGCGTCTCTTTTCTGCGGTTTGCTGTCTGCCTTCGTCTTGCTGGTCTCTGCAGGTGAGTCTGAGCAAGGAAACCAGTTCATTCCACAAGTGTGTTTGCAACTGTTAGGCTGCAGGAGTGAATATGCGATAACACTGCTGTTTTATATTTTCCTGTCTTTTGAAAATGCCTGTCAGTCTGTATTCATGGATACATTAAAACTTGTGCTAAAAGTTAAGAAAAAAAACTATTTTATAACGCGAGAGGAAGATCAGGTTTGCAGAGTGAGGCATGTAGACAAAAAATAAATAAATAAACATTTTAAAAAGTTGTAAATTATGTTTTGAATTAATAATTTATAGCTTATGTATTATCTATTTATAACAAAGTATTTTTTTGTAATATTTAGAAGAATATAAACGGCAACATAATTTTTTGTAAAGGTCAGTTTTTGTTTCTTGATATAAGCCTGCATAGCTATGGGTAATGTCCAGCAGAGGGAGCTGTCACGTAGTTAGCCACAAGCTGCACTTCCAGCTCAGACCGAATTTTGTGGCTCACATGTGCCACAATGCAGCTCTCAATGAAGCGTGAAGCAGCGTGATACAAGACAAAATTAAGAAAGGAAGGCAGAGCAAGGTACATGCTTTAAGCTGTACTTGACTGCTTAGTTGATATTTTGTTGTATTGCTACTTTATTTGATTTATATTTGAGTTTATATTAATAAGAACCACCTAAGAAGATGTATTTTTGTGTTTCTGTCTAGTTTTAAGGTGTATTGGCACACATCAGCACTGTTAGATTCTGAATGAATCTTGAAGTAAAAACCCTTTTAAAAACCACTTGTCGAAGCTCCCTCTATTTCGTCCCTGGTCCGGGGGACTGTTACAGTGACAACTCGGTAGCTTAGTGTTAAGGCTAGTTGCTAGCCCCCATGCCAAGTAAGTGCAGCCCGTGCCTGTCGAGCTGGGTCCGTGTGTCAGCTGTGAGAGATTTCTACACCAGTCAAGATCATCATTGCTTTGTTGCCTAGCTCTACTTTGAAATCTGATGGTCACTTTACAAAAGTGCAGGTATTATGCTCAGCAAGGACTTTGCTGATATCAAGGTCAAAATATCTGCACATTAATTCAGAGTTACCTGCCTTAGATGTTTTGTGGTTGACAGCCTTAAAGGTATAGTGCATTGCACTAAGTCATTAGAATCCTTAAATTGTATGGGTTATTCTTCTTTAAAATAACGTTGTGGTACCAGCAGTATTTACAGTTACATTTTGTCAAATATGTGAGTGCTAATCTGTTTATTTGCATGGTGTAAACGTCTGATGTGAGCATTGTTTCCAAAAGTTAAAGTAACGCTCACTTAAATTTAAGTCCAGATGTTATTGCATACAGCAACATGCACATTACAGTAACAAAATGTTGAACCCTGCTGAAGAAGCCGACTACTCAGAGCAATAAGGAGTGAGATCCAGCAATCGTGAAATGCCTTTAACTGAAAAGGGTAAAAGTATGGGCTCAAAATGTGGTCATAAATATTTTGTACTTGTAAATCAGTTTTGTATGTGTAAAAAAGATTTGTGTGTGCGTATTACAAATCCTTGAAAGAGTAGTTGTCAAACAGCTAACAGATCATCTGCAGAGGAATGGCTTATTTGAAGAGTTTCAGTCAGGTTTCAGAGCTCATCACAGCACAGAAACAGCTTTAGTGAAGGTTACAAATGATCTTCTTATGGCCTCTGACAGTGGACTCATCTCTGTGCTTGTCCTGCTAGACCTTAGTGCAGCGTTCGATACTGTTGACCATAATATCCTATTAGAGCGATTAGAACATGCTGTAGGTATTACAGGTACTGCACTGCAGTGGTTTGTATCATATCTATCTAATAGACTCCAATTTGTGCATGTAAATGGAGAGTCCTCTTCACACACTGAGGTTAATTATGGAGTTCCACAGGGTTCAGTGCTAGGACCAATTCTGTTTACATTATACATGCTTCCCCTAGACAGCATCATTAGAAGACATAGCATACATTTTCACTGCTATGCAGATGACACCCAGCTCTATCTCTCCATGAAGCCAGATAACACACACTAATTAGTTAAACTGCAGGAATGTCTTAAGGACATAAAGACTTGGATGGCCGCTAACTTTCTGCTCCTTAATTCAGATAAAACTGAGGTTATTGTACTCGGCACTGAAAATCTTAGAAATATGGTATCTAACCAGATTCTTACTCTGGATGGCATTACCTTGGCCTCCAGTAACACTGTGAGGAACCTTGGAGTCATTTTTGACCAGGATATGTCCTTCAACGCACATATTAAACAAATATGTAAGACTGCGTTCTTCCATTTGCACAACATCTCTAAAATTAGAAATATCCTGTCTCAGAGTGACGCTGAAAAACTAGTTCATGCATTTATTACTTCCAGGCTGGACTACTGCAATTCATTATTATCAGGATGTCCAAAAAACTCCCTGAAAAGCCTTCAGTTAATCCAAAATGCTGCAGCAAGAGTCCTGACAGGGACTAGGACGAGAGAGCATATTTCTCCTGTTTTGGCTTCCCTTCATTGGCTTCCTGTTAAATCCAGAATTCAAAATCCTGCTCCTCACATACAAGGTCTTAAATAATCAGGCCCCATCTTATCTTAATGACCTTGTAGTACCATATCACCCTATTAGAGCACTTTCGCTCTGCAGGCCTACTTGTTGTTCCTAGAGTATTTAAAAGTAGAATGGGAGGGAGAGCCTTCAGTTTTCAGGCCCCTCTTCTGTGGAACCAGCTTCCAGTTTGGATTCGGGAGACAGACACTATCTCTACTTTTAAGATTAGGCTTAAAACTTTCCTTTTTGCTAAAGCATACAGTTAGGGCTGGACCAGGTGACCCTGAATCCTCCCTTAGTTATGCTGCAATAGACGTAGGCTGCCGGGGGATTCCCATGATGCATTGAGTTTTTCCTTTCCAGACACCTTTCTCACTCACTATGTGTTAATAGACCTCTCTGCATTGAATCATATCTGTTATTAACCTCTGTCTCTCTTCCACAGCATGTCTTTATCCTGTCTTCCTTCTCTCACCCCAACCTTTTTAACAGCCTACAAGTTTTTTTGTTTCTTTGTAAATATGGCCCTAAATACCAATGAGACCCTTTAAATGTTCATAATGTTATATAATTATAAAATGTTTCCTTCAGTGACATCTTTTATTCAAGATTTAGCACATGCATGTTTCCAAATTTCAGCAACATTTTGAATGCAGGGATATTTTTACAGAGTGGCTTTGTTTTCAAATGTGAAATATAAATATATCCACACTGCACATCAAACACACAACTCGCTCCCGAGAGAGTATATTTATTAACAGTGTCAGGATCTTACACTTTGAGTTTTCTTGTGTCCTTGTGATTTTCTATTATGGTTTGTTCTAAGTTCACTTAGTTGCCCTAGTTTAGTGTCTTAGTTTGAGTTTCTTGTAGTCTCTCTAAATTTCCTGTGTTACGTTTAAGGTCCGCATCTTGGTGTCAGTGTTTTCAGTTTCGTGTCCTCTCCATCCTGTCATGTGTAAATTCCTCAGCTGTGTTCCCGGTTTGATTCCACTTCCCTCATTATCTTCTGTGTATTTATGTCAAAGTCTCCCTCTGTTCCATGTCGCGTCTTCCCTCAGTGTTGTGTGTGTTTCCCAGATTTCCCTGTGCCTCCTTGTGAGTTACTTTTAGTTCATCCCAGTGTAGTTTTGTATCGCCCTTTTCCTTTCTGTTAATAAAGCCGTGCTTTGAGTTCATGCGCGTGTGGAGGAAAACCTCTTAGATTCTTCCTCTGATTGGCTGCTGGAGAAGTGAACAGTCGCACTTTGATCCCTTTAACCTCTCTGCTCTGTGTTGTTTCCTCTTTCAGTCCAGAGAAACATCACGGTTGAGCCCGGACAGAACGTCACTCTGCCATGTCGAGCTCCAAACAACACCACGTCCATCTGCGTAGCAGAGTGGAGCAGGGCTGACCTCGGGACAGATTATGTCCTTTTTTACAGAGAGAAGCGAATTGATCCAGACAACCAGCATCCATCCTTTGTGAACCGGGTAGATCTGCAGGATGGGGAGATCAAAGATGGAGACGTGTCTTTGATTCTGAAGCATGTGACGGCTAACGACACTGGAACGTACCATTGTCGTGTCGTTAAATGCCGTCAACGGCAGAGTCTTAATATTCCCACTCCCCCCATCAGCAGCATCCATCTGACTGTTGTTGATCCTTCAAGTGAGTGAGTAGAGTTCACTATGTGTGTGATCAGAGGTGAAGCTGCTTCCTGGTTGTTGATCAGACTTTGTAGAAAGCAGCTGGGTTTACTGTACTATAAGGAAAGTTGAACTTACCCAGTACACTGTCTGTTGAAACATCTACCCAGGTTTTATCAGTTCAGCTGAGAGCGAGGGGGTGTACGGGATGGGGTTGGCACTGATCACAAGCTGGGATCAGTGTACTGATTTCTATCTTTCCTTGTAAAGAAAATATTGAAAATCTTGCAGCGACAGTAAACCCACTCAGCAACAGAGTGATGTTGTTTTATATGGTAATTTTTGGATGTCCAGTTTTGGTTCACTGAAGGGGCTGTTGTGGATGTCTTTTCAATGTCAAACTTTGATTCATTATAGGCTCTGCTGTAGGATGTTTTCTGTGTGAAGGAATGCAGAGCTATCAGCAGATAGCTGCAAGATGGCGTGTGCTCATGAACTAAAACAAAATTCTACTCGACGAAGACTGTCGAGTAGATAGTCCAGTTCATACATACACACTTCAGAGCAGCCTACCAATCACAGCA